CTGTCTGCTTCACAGTTTCCCAAACCTGAGAACTAGAATTGGGTCTAGTTCTAATTCTGGAGTCTCTGCTTACCTGGAGCAAGGCATTTTCTGTTTGTTAGAATGAGAATTAAGCTTAGGAATCAAAAGATACAGTTAATGAAAAGGTTGCTGGACTTAAAATGGTGTGAGGACTTCTGAACGGTTTTCCTCAGCACACCGATCGTCGTTCCACGGTACAGTATGTTTTCTGGGGAGTGGTTGTGGACACGTGTATCCAGCGGACTTCTGTTTTATCTTGAAGAGGGCAGGTCAGGGCCGGCCCTCTGGTGGTGTTGACCAGCTTCGCTTTCCCAGCCCTGCTGCCCAATGCCCGACCTAAGGACTGGTGCGTTTATGCAATTGTTTCTTTGTTTGGCTGGTGTAGGTACTTCATAATAGAACTTTGTATTTCTCTTAAGAAGACATTGACGTTTATTAATAAATTTCACAAATTTTGTTTTTTGGTGAAAAATCAAATATTAGTATTTAAAACTGGACCTTCGGCGAGTTAAAGTCATCTTTTTTTGGTTAATCTCTCAAAGAGAATGCTTTCCTTTCTTTTTCCTTTCCACTTGGCCTGACATCTCATTGTGTTCTGTTACCACGTCTCCCCTTTTTCTCTTTGGAGCTAGTTATTATCTTGGTGACATTTCTGGGTAGGCATAGTAGGGACTTCTCTGGTTACTGCCCTGTGGGGGTGAACCACAGAAAGGCCTCCAGGGCCCTGCTGCTTCTGCCTCATTTAGAAGTTGTTGTGGGGGACAGCTGGCCTGTGACTGACAGGAGGCACGAGCCTCAGGAGGGTGCTGGGGTTTGGGCACATGTGCAGTGACTGTATCCACCATCATAGTGTCATACAGAGTTGTCTCACTGCCTTAGAAACCCTCTGTGCCCGTCTGGTCATCCCTCCCTGCCCCGTCCCTGGCAACTGCTGATCTTTCACTGCCTCCATAGCTTTGTCTTTTCTAAAATGTCGTATGGTTGGAATCACAGTGTGTAGTCTTCTCAGATTGGCTTTTGTCACTTGTAATATGCATTTAAGGTCCGCCATGTCTTTTCAGTTTTTGTGTAGACTTTTATTTTCAACTCATTTGTGTAGGTACCAAGGAGCACAATTGCTGGATTGTATGGTAAGAGTATGTTTAGTTTTGTAAGAAGCCTCCAAACTGTCTTCCAAGTGGCTGTACCATTTTGCATTCCCCCCAGCAATGAATGAGAGTTCCTGTTACTCCGCATCCTTACCAGCATTTGGTGTTGTCGGTGTTTTAGATTTTTGGCTATTCTAATAGGTGTGTAGTGTTATTTCCTTGTTTTAATTTGCATTTCCTTAATGACATATGATGTTGAGCATCTTTTTCTATGCTTGTTTGCCTTCTCTATATCTTCTTGTGGTGAGGTGTCTTTTTAAGTCTTTTTGGCCATTTTTTAAATTGGATTGTTCATTTTCTTACTGTTAAGGATTGAGTTTTTTGTATATTTTGGATAACAGTCCTTTATCGGATGTATCTTTTGCAAATCTTTTCTCCAAGTCTGTGGCTTATCTTTTCATTCTCTTGACAGTCTTTCACAGAGCACAAGTTTTTAGTTTTTTTCTTTTCTGTTTATTTTGCTGAGGAAGATTCGCCCTGGGCTAACGTCTGTTGCCAGTCTTCCTCTTTTTTTGTGTCTGAGCCACCACCACAGCATGGCCACTGACAGATGAGCAGTGTAGGTCCATGCCCGGGAACTGAACCTGGGCCGCTAAGGTGGAGTGTGCTGAACTTAACCCTAGGCCACCAGGGCTGGCCCAGAAGTTTTTAGTTTTAACGAAGTACAGCTTATTAGTTATTTCGTCATGGATCATGTCTTTGATGGTGTATCTAAAAAATCACCACCACACCCAAAGTCACCTAAATTTTCTCCTCTGTTATCTTCTAGGAGTTTTATAGTTTTGCTCTTTATATTTAGGTGTGTGGTTTTTGAGTTAATTTTTGTGAAGGGTGTAAGGTCTGTGTCTGGATTCATTTTTTGCATATGGATGTCCAGTTGTTCCAGCACTATTTGTGGAAAAGACTATCTTTGCTCTATTGTATTGCTTTTGCTCCTTTGTCAAAGATTGTTTGAACATATTTATGTGAGTCTTCTGCTGGACTCTGTTCTGTTGCAGCCATCTGTTTGTCTGTTCTTTTGCTATTACCACGTTGTCTTGATTACTGTAGCTTTATAGTAAGTCTTAAAGTCTAGTACTGTCAGTCCTCCAGCTTTGTCCTTTTCAGTATTGTGTTGGCTGTCCTGGATCTTTTGCTTCTTCATATAAACATTAGAATCACTTTGCAGATATCTACAAAATAACTTGCTGGGATTTTGATTGGGATCGCTTTGAATCTATAAATCAAGTTGGGAAGAACTGACCCCTTGACAATATTGAATCTTCCTATCCCTGAACGTGGACTATCTCTCCATTTGTTTGGTCCTTTGATTTCTTTCATCAGAGCTTTGTAAAGTTTTCCTTATATAGATCTTATACATATTTTGTTATATTTAGACCTAAATATTTCATTCATTCTTTTGGATGCTAGTGTAAGTGGTATTCTGTTTTTAGTTTCAAATTTCACTTGTTCCTTGCTGATATATAGGAAAGTGGTTGACTTTTGTCTGTTGTTCTTGTATCTTGCAACCATGCCATAATCACTCATTAGTTCCAGGAGTTTTTTGTTGTTGTTGATTCTTTGGGATTTTCTATATAGACAATCATGTCATCTGTGAACAAAGACAGTTTGATTTCTTCCCTCCCAATCAGGATACCTTTTATTTCCTTTTCTTGTCTTAATGCATTATCTAGGACTTCCAGTACAGTATTATAAAGGAGTGATGAGAGGGGACATCCTTCCTTTATTCCTGATCTTAGTGGGAAAGCTTCTAGTTTGTCGCCATTAAGTATGATGTTAACTATAAGGTTTTTTGGGTAGATATTCTTTATCAAGTTGAGGAAATTCCCCTCTATTCTTAGTTTACTGAGTTTTTTTTTTTTTTTTAATCACGAATGGGTATTAGATTTTGTCAAATGCTTTTTCTGTATCTATTGATATGATCATGTGATTTTTCTTTAGCCTGTTGCTATTGTGGATTACTTAATTGATTTTCAAATGCTGAACTAGCCTTGCATACCCGGGATAAATCCCACTTGATGAGGTGTATAATTCTTTTTCTACAATGTTGGATTTGGTTTGCTAATATTTTGTTGAGGATTTTTGCATCTTTCTTCATGAGAGATATTGGTCTGTAGTTTTCTTGTAATGACTTTGTCTGATTTTGTTATTAGGATAATGTTGACTTCATAGAATGAGTTAGAAAGTATTCCTTCTGCTTCTATCTTCTGCAAAAGATTGTAGGTTATTGGTATCATTGCTTCCTTAAATGTTTGGTAGAATTTATCAGTGAACCAAACTCAGCCTGGTGCTTTCTGTTTTGGAAGTTTATTAATTGGTGATTTATTTCTTCAATAGATACAGGCCTATTCAAATTGTCTATTTCTTCTTGTGTGAGCTTTGGCAGATTGTGTCTTTCAAGGAATTGGTACATTTCATCTAGATTATCAAATTTGTGGACATAGAGTTGTTCATAATATTCCTTTATTATTCTTTTAATGTCTGTGGGGTCTGTACTGATGTTCCCTCTTTTATTTCTGATATTGGTAATTTTCTGTATTCTCTTTTCTTGTCTTAGTTAGCCTGGCTAGAGGATTATTAATTTCATTGATCTTTTCAAAGAACCAGCTTTTGGAGTTACTGATTTTCTCTATTGATTTCCTGTTTTCAATTTCATTGATATCTGCTCTAATTTTATTATTTCTTTCTTCTGCTTACCTTGGGTTTAATTTTACTCTTCATTTTCTGGTTTCCTAAGATGGAAGCTTAGATGGTTGATTTTAGATCTTTAATTTCTCTGTAAGCACTGCTTTAGCTGCATACCACAAATTTTGCTAAGTTGTATTTCCATTTTCATTTAATTCAAAATGTTTTTAAATTTCTCTTGAGATTTGTTCTTTGAACAGTGTGTTATTTAGAAGTGTGTGTTGTTTAATCTCCAAGTATTTTGGTATTTCTAGCTGTCTTTCTGTGATTGACTTTTAGTTTAATTTCATTGTGGTCTGAGAGCAGACATTCTATGATTTCTGTTCTTTTAAATTTGTTCAGGTGTGTTTTATGGCCCAGAATGTGGTCTCTCGTGGTCAATGTTCCATGTGAGCTTGAGAAGAATATATATTCTGCTGTGTTTGAATGAAATAGTTGATAGATATCAATTATATCCAGTTGACCGATGGTGTTATTGAGTTCAACTCTGTCTTTACTGATTTTCTATCTGCCAGACCTGTCCATTTCTGATAGGGGTATGCTGAAGTCTCCTACTCTGATAGTGGATTTTTCTCTTTTTCCTTTCAGTTCTATCAGTTTTGCCTCACGTATTTTGACGATTTGTTATTAGGCACAGACATGTTAAGGATTGCTATGTCTTTTTAAGAATTGACCCTTTATCGTTATCTTCTTTATCCCTAATAATGTTCCTTGCTCTGAAGTTGGCTCTGTTTGAGATTAATATAGCTGCTCTAGCTTTCTTTTGTTAAGTGTTAACGTGGTATAATCTTTCTCCATCCCTTTATTTTTAATCTATATGTGTCTTTATATTTAAAGTGGGTTTCTTTTAGACAAGCTATAGTTGAGTTTTGTTGTTTTTGATCCACTCTGACAGTCTCTGTCATTTTATTGGTGTATTTGGGCCATTGATGTTTAAAGTGATAATTGATATAGTTGGATACCATCTACCATATTTATTACTGTTTTCTGTTCATTTGCTTTTTTTTGTTCCTAATTTTGTCTTCTGCTCTGACTTTTGTAGTTTCAATTGAGCATTTTGTATGATTCCATTTTCTCTCTTAGCATATGAGTTATACTTTTTAAAAATTTTTTAGTGGTTGCCCTAGAGTTTGTAATATACATTTTAAAGATATGGAAGATTTCACAAATGTGCACGTCATCCCTGTGCAGGGTCATGCTTGTCTCTGCATTGTTCCCATTCTAGTATGTGTGCTGCTGAAGTGAGCACATAACATGTTCTAGTTCTATCCTGAGGGCCTTCCTAGCAGTTCTTCCCTTTTAGGTGGATATGATCAGCACCAGCAGTGGACACTGACGTAAGGGAGACACTGATGTGTGCCCCTGAGTGCTGAGTGTCCGCCCGAGAGTCCATGCTCTTCTTTTTGTTTGTTTTTAAAGATTTTATTTTTTCCTTTTTCTCCCCAAACTTCCCTGGTACAGTTGTTTATTTTGGGATGTGGGTCCTTCTAGTTGTGGCATGTGGGTTGCCGCCTCAGTGTGGCCTGATGAGTGGTGCCATGTCTGCGACCAGGATCCAAACCAGCAAAACCCTGGGCCGCCGAAGCAGAGCATGCAAACCCAACCGCTTGGCCACGGGGCCGGCCCCTCATGCTGTTTTCAGAGTAGAAAATCTTCACAGTTTTTATTGCTAACTGGTATCTGCTGCATCCTTGCTGCAGTGTCAGGTTCAGGCCCACACACTGATTGACTGGGCCCCCGTAGTTTAAATGCTGCATGATTTAAGGACTTTTTGTTCTCAGGCATCACTTCTTCATCTTCAGAACTGCCATTTCCTCTCTAGAGATAAAAACACAAGCCACTTCTGTTATAGAAGAAGGTGGTATGGTCATAGTTCTTAGACTAACCCAGTAACACTCTTATTCCTTTTTATTTTTTTAAACAGATGTGATGTTTACTGGTACCATGGATGGCCGTGTTGTAAAACTTGAAAATGGTGAAGTAGAGACCATCGCCCGGTTTGGTTCGGGCCCATGCAGTAAGTCAGTGACAGTCCCCCCTGATGTTTGTCTCTTCCAGTCATTCATAAAGGTGGTGAATGGCCATGTGGAACTTCATTTCCCTTGAGGTCAGGTTCCCCCTTGGAGAAAAAGAGCCCCTGACCACTTGGCAGATAGAGCCTGACTTGGGTGTTACGAATTCTTCATTTGCTGTGTGGTCCCTGGACCTCAGGGTGCCTGATTGTCACCTTGCAGGCACAGTTTCCCAGTTAGGTAATGGCCGTGGCGCCTGCTAGTTGCTTCATGGACCCCACCCCTTACCGTTGCAGAGGATGTGTTGTCAGGGTGCTGCTGTAGAAAAGCAGTGGCTTTGTCATTACTTGGATGCTTAAATGTGATTTCTGCATTGGCTTCTCAGGAATCTCAGCAGTGTCATTCAAAGCAACGATGCTCTTAAGTCACTCAGATTTTAGAAAACTAGAGTAGAAGAATCTCACTGTTTAAAAACTGGTAGCCCACAGACTTATTAATTGTCTTTTTTTTTTTTTTCTTTTTGAGGAAGATTGGCCCTGAGCTAACATCTGCCACCAGTCCTTCTCTTTTTGCTGAGGAAGACTGGCCCTGAGCTAACATCTGTGGCCATTGTCCTCTACTTTATATGTGGGATGCCTGCAACAGCATGGCTTGATGAGTGGTATATATGTCTGTGCCTGGGATCCGAACCAGCGTACTGCAAAGCAGTGTGAACTTAACCACTGTGCCACCAGGCCAGCCCCTGTCATTTTTTAATAGCTAGAATGTTTTTGTAAAAATGATGCACTTTCATTGTGAAATGTGAACAACAAGAAGGTACAAAGAAGAAAGTAAAAATCACCTCAGAGTCTTCTCAGCTGTAACTTACTAACATTTAAATGAATTACTTTTTAGATATCTTTCGTTCATGGATACTCCCATCCACATATGGTTTTATGTAATGGAATCATACTCTATGTTTGGTTATTTAACCTGCTTTTTCCACTCTGTATTTTGGTCATAAGTGCCCCTGCAGTAAGCCCCCTGCAGTAAATGCCCTGCAGTAAGCACCTTGCAATAAGTACCTTGCAGTAAACACCCTGCAGTAAATGCCCTGCAGTAAGCGCCCTGCAGTAAATGCCTTGCAGTAAGTGCCCTACAGTAAGCACCTTGCAGTAAGCACCCTGCAGTAAATGCCCTGCAGTAAATGCCCTGCAGTAAGCGCCCTGCAGTCAGCACCCTGCAGTAAATGCCCTGCAGTAAGCACCCTACAGTCAGCACCCTGCATCAGCTCCCAGCAGTAAGCACCCTGTAGTAAATATGCATTGCCACAGGTTTAAAAAGAGTATAGGTAGTAGAGCAGGAGAATTAAGGAATAAAGTAGTAACTCTTCCTTTATGCCAGGAGGAGGGAAAACTCTCATGTTCCTAGACAGGCACAGTATTCATGTCAGGCTGGTGGACTTAAACCCAACTTCTGAGGTTCTGGGGGGATTCTGGAGTTGGGGCCTGGGTCCTACTGATGTCCCTGAGTTGACTGTTAAGTCTCAGGATGCTGATGTGAACATGATCCTTGGTTACCAGTTGCTGTGTGTATGTCCAGATGCAGATTCTCAGTTGGTCTCAGGACATGCTGGACAATCGTCATAAGTTCTAGTGGGCTGGCATGCGGGGGGCCAAGTCTGTCTCTAATGCCATGAGCTTTTTTGTTCTCTACGTCACAGTGGATATTTAGGAAGGAATGGATGAGGCGTTTGGACACCGAGTGGGGCACGGGTAGAACCTGAGACCAACCACCATTTCCTGTCCATTTGTTTCCCCAGAAACCCGAGATGATGAGCCTGCTTGTGGGAGACCCCTGGGCATCCGGGCCGGGCCCAACGGGACCCTTTTTGTGGCTGACGCATACAAGGGACTATTTGAAGTAAATCCCTGGAAACGTATGTGACAATATCTTGTTTCCTTCTATGATAATTTCAGATCTTTTAGCCAGTATGTGCACAAGTGGATCCAATAGAGTTCATTCAGTACAGTCTACTGGACACTAATATTTTCTTGTTCATTGAATAGTACTGTAAGTATTGCCTCCCAATACCAGCCAGTATCAGCATCATAGAACTCCTTCCTCATGGCTGCTTTGGTCAGTGCCTTAATCTCCTGTGGGTGTTTGTGTTCTACCCACAGGTCTCAAAAGGGCTCATTGTGAGGGTGTTAGACCTCCTCTTTCTGTCTTTATTTTTTTGTGTTTTCACTACGTTTTGTCTTTGTTTGTTTTCTGCCTCTGTTTCTCCTTTTTCCTTCCCCTTCATCTCCGTCTTCATTTTTTTCTTCCTCCAGCTCCTCCTCCCATTTCTCTCCCCTGACGAGCCATGATGTCACCTTGACCAGTGTTGTAATTATTGCTGTGTGTGCTTCAGTGGGGGAGATTCAGGCTGTGGAGGAGTTAGTTATGATGGGTGGGGCGTGGGGTGCTGGGCATAGGTGGAAAGAGCTTAGCCCTCAATAAATTTTTGCTCTACAACTTAAAAAAATTTACTACTGCTCATATTCTTTAAAAGCAGATGAGTGGGACATTTTATATTTCTCTCAAGCAAACAAATAGAAAATTTCCTTGTTATTCAAGACTCGTAATAGATTTTTGAAAGTCAGTGGTCTTCATTAAAAAAAGAGTTCCTCATCCTTAGAGGAAGGATTCTGCCTTTGATGAAGTTCATCTAAAAAAACTCATCACCTAACAGATGAAGGAAAGGACAACACTGTTTTTTACTGTAAGAGGGAATGAATCTTCTGACATAGGACATGGAGAAGCTCATTTTGGCTTTTCTTTTTAAATCGGTCAGGCTGATTAATGTTTTGAAATTATTGAGATACAAGTTCTTAGAGTGAAAGCGGGTCTCTCTTTCCCTCCCTCCTCGCCTGCCTTCTTTCTCTCTCCTTCCCACCTACCTCAGGTGAAGTGAAACTGCTGCTCTCCTCTGAGATACCCATTGAGGGGAGGAAAATGTCCTTTGTGAATGATCTTACGATAACTCAGGATGGGAGGAAGATTTATTTTACGGATTCTAGCAGCAAATGGCAAAGACGAGATTACCTACTTCTGGCTCTGGAGGGCACGGACGACGGGCGGTGAGTGTTCCTTCCAGATCTTGTGCCCAGTGAGATCGTCCGCCAGGCAGATGACTTCAACAGAGCTATTACTTCTAGGAACCCTTGGAGTGTTTCTGAGCATAGTATTTCAGCTTTTAAGATGGGACTTTCATGGCTTCTGGAAACGGGTGATGGGTGCAACAAACAGAGCAGGTGTTCCCACTTTCCCTCGGAAGAAATGAAGTTAAACTAGGCCAGGCCGTCTGAGAGTGTGGTCTAGATGGTCTGGAGATGCCTAACAGACAGGCCTGGGTTTCACGTCATCCGTCTGAAGAGGCACTCCTGCAAGGCTGGAGCCATGGTGGCCCTCCCTGGTGCTGAGCCATCTCCCGCGTCAGTGAGAGAACTGACTGGGGGTTCTCTGAAGGATACCTGGGTCTGCTCTGGGTAGAAGGGGCCCCCAGGGGCCAGCTGGGAGCCAGGTCTGGGCAGAGGACCCCAGGGGCCCTGTCACTCCAGTGTGAGGCTGAGTCCCCTCCACAGGCCCCTGCCCCAGGGCCCAGAGAGGGGCCGTGGACTGACCCCATGTAACCCTTTGCTGTTGGCGCCCCACAGCCTGCTAGAGTATGACACTGAGACCAAGGAGGTGAAGGTCTTACTGGACCAGTTGCGGTTCCCGAATGGAGTGCAGCTTTCTCCTGCAGAGGACTTCGTCCTGGTGGCGGAGACGACCATGGCGAGGATAAGAAGGTGCGTGTGGTGTCCGCCGAGCTGTCAGTGTTCACCAGAGTTCGTCCTTGCCCACAATGGGCACAGCACTGCAGCAGGGCGCCTTCTACTCTGTGTGGTGGTGACACGTAAAATTCAGGCATGCGTTTTCTTTTTCCCTTTCTCAGCCTACCTGAGCGTCGTGGTCTGGGAGAATTTTGATTATTTAATGCTGCCTGTGCATCCCAGGTCCCTTTCCCTGCCGGGTGGTCCTTGGCCTGCCCGTCTCCCCACAGCTGCTTCTGTGCCCTTGCTCGTGATGGACACGTTTACAGTTTTTTCCATAAGCTTATTGGGCTGAGACCAATTCGACACTTGGCTAAAGTTTTCCTTAAATTGAGGGACTGCTGCTCACTGCCTGCTTGGGTGAATTTTTCAGATTCTACGTGTCTGGCCTGATGAAG